GAATCCATTGTGCAAGGTACATGGCATAGTTCTGAATTTATATAAGGTGAAAATACATAAATACAAGATATACATAACTTGCAATTTTAAATGTATTCTAAATAATTCTACATATTAAATGTCATATGTGAAAAACAAATTATAGTTTATCACCTGCAGAAACTGCCATAGTTTGGAGCCCAAAAGTTTTATAAAAACCTTTTCACTCCATCAATTGAGGTGCTACAAATGACTGTTATTACCAAGAATCTAGTTAGTTGGGCCTTGAGGGGCCTTTCAAGTTTCAATAGCTCCATAATAGTTCTTTAACTTTAAGCACTAGGTGCAATGCATCAAAAAGACGACATCCAAAGCTTTCTGTTAAGTTCTGAGTGTGCTGACAAGGAAGAGCAGCGTCTAGTTTCTTGCTCCCAGGATCTATTTCTCCCCACGAACCCATCTTCCCACCCTGCCTCTTCTGACTGGGCACACACTGCTGACTAACAAAACTGGGAATTTTCTCTTGAAAAAAAAGTACTTTTTTTTTTTTAAACTTTTAATGGGTCAGAATTGATACTGAAGGCCTGTGGGCTATTGGGACAGTGACTACTCAGCTCTCCTGCTATAACCTAGACATACCTAAAGTCCACAGAAGAAACAATGTGATGGCTCTGTGCCAACGAATTTTATTTGAAGACACTGAAATTTTAATTTCATATATGAAATTCTCAAGTTACAAAACAGTTTTTTGCCCTCTTGGTAATAACTTAAAAACATTAAACTATTCTTGGTTCCCAGGCTACAGAAGTCAAAGAGGCCAGTTTGGCCTGCAAGCCATGTCCCTTCTCCAAAAGAACCCCTGCTTCTTGCCCAAAGAGAAGTGTGATCCAGTTCTGGAGCTAGTACACTGAACCCAGTCACTTAAATGGAGCTGCTACTCCAGTTTTCAAGCTAAGCCTAATGGAGCCTTGCACCTCCAGGCTCTGCAACTAAACAGCAACTGTTAATGAATAAACATTACCCCAGACCTCTCTCTTAACCAAAGAATCCTCCATCATAAATCCTTAATAAAACACCACCAGGAAAACCTGTGCTAACTATGGTTCAATCGAATCCATAACCCTATTTTCATGCAACGCCAAAAGAACCAGATGTGGCTGGCTAGGGGAACCACATTCCCAAATGAACACCAGAAGACCACATATAAAACTATTAATTTGAAGGGGGAAACCATTAAAGTTACTTCACAAGCTGCAAAGTTATGTGGCAAACCAGGATTCTGGATTATAAAAGTAACAAATCATCCATTCCACCTGATACAGAAAACAGTCTCCCACTTTGCTCATGGTGGTTTCTAGACACATACCCTTTACTTTTGATCATTTTCATCTTTACTTGTAGACATTTATTTTCAGAACATAAATGTATTCACTTCAAAATAATAGCTGGATGTGGTGGCACACCACAACTTTAATCCTAGGACTCGAGAGGTCTCTGTGAGTTGCAGGCCAGCATGATCAACATAATGAGTTCCAAGCCAGCCAGGGCTACACAGTGAGAACCTGTCTCAAAAAACAAACCAACAAAATCAATAAATAAATCATGTCTGGCTGGGTTTCGTGGTGCACACCAATAATCCCAGTACTCAGGAGTCTAGGGTAGGAGGATTGTGAGTTTGAGGCCACTCTGAGCTACATAGACAGGCCTAGTTTCAAAAAACTAAGGGCAAGTTGGACATGGTAGTGAACACCTGTGATCCTAGCACTTGGGATGCTGAGATAGAAAGACTGATGGGAGTCCTAGGCCAGCCAGGGCTACAAGGCCCTGTCTCAAAAAATACATACTTACAGCCATACATACACACATTACTAACTAAATGAAGGCTACCGATATGGCTCAATGGTGCAGTGTTTGCCTAGCATATGCAGGGTCCTAGGTTTGATCCTAGCACGACAAAAAAAAAAAAAAAAAAAGTAAATACATAAATGAATAAATAATTAGAAAATGCTCTCTATTCGGAGATACTGAGGCAATGGCCACAGCTATCTCTTCCTATGCTCTACAACAACCATTTTTTATGTTTTTAGAATAAGTAAAATTTGTAAAGATTTTTTAAAATATCGTGTGTGTGTGTGTGTGTGTGTGTGTGTGTGTGTGTGAATGCCAGTATTCATGGAGGTCAGAGGCCTCAGACCCCTCAGGAACTGAGGGTGCTTCTGAGCTGCCTGGCATGGGTACTGGGAACCAGACTCAGGTCCTCTGGAAGAGCAGTATGTGCGCTTAATCGTTGAGCTACGGCTGGCCCATAACTACAATTTTTATGAGCACTGAAATCAAGTTGCTGCAGTAATCATAAATGTTATCATAAACACCAACAAGTGAAAAGCTTGACCCTAATTCAATGCCAAAGAAAATAATCCTTTTTTCTATTCATCCCTTGTTAAAAATGAAATTTCTAAATCCTTGTTCTACACCTTTAACCATGTTCCATATGGATATGAGGCATTCTGATAACTCTACGGTTACTAGTATGGTACCTTAGAATTTTCCTAGAATAAAAGAGTCATGAAATTAATCCATGCTGGTAAATATGCTTATACAATTTAAGATTGTGTACTAACTTTATTATATCACAAAAATGATCGCCTAACACACTGAGACCTTTTTTTTTTTTTTTTTTTTTGGATTTTTTGAGACAGGGTCTTCCTGTAGCCCCAGCTGGCCTGGAACTAGCTATGTAGACCAGGCTGGCCTTGAACTCACAGAGATCTGTCTGCCTTTGCCTCCCCAGTGCAGAACTTCATTTCTGATGGAACTTATGAATCCTTTCAAAATAGAAAAATTGTCTGTGCTCCATGCTTGTAAAGCACAGTCTTAGGGACCTGGGTTCCATCCCAACATCATAAAAAAACAAGACACTCCAGTAGTAACTAAATTAAAATTAAACATTACTTTTATACATGAAAGGGTAAGATGCAAGATGCCTTCTGTTTTTTAAGTACCGAGTCTGGCAGAGTTCAAAGGCCTCTTTCCAATGCCTGCAAGGTTAACCGCAAACTACTTACGGTCAAGTATGAAATACCTCTTTCTTAATTCAACAGCTGATCCATACATACTTTCTAAGTGCCACAAACAGTTAATGAAAAGACCATCTAACCGGTGACACTGCACGGCTCACGATCCATTATATAAAACTTCTCAAGTATTCACTGCTGCCTAGTTCTGATTTTAAAGCCTTTCTTATAAAAGCTTGCATCATCTTCCTCCTCATCCCTATCTTTCCGGTCAGGTAATTAAACCCAAGTTTAAAGGACACGTCTCCTAGGCAGGAGGGGAGGGTTCCTAGGCCGAGAGCCCAGACCTGTCAAACACATATTTTAAGTGCTTAGGGAAAATGTCAACCAAATGGTTGACAAGGCCCGTTTAAATTTCTTTATGATCCTTTGTACGTTCAAGGATTCGGCTAGACAAAAAGGACAAGACAGGTTTCGTTTTGTTCCTCAAGGGTGAGGAGTATCAGCGGGGGTGATGGCTCTGGTGGGGTGTTTCCTAGCTCCGGCCCTGGGTGCCAGATGGGTGGCCCACCCCAAAGTTGCTCCGGTCCCGAGGCCAGCAGAGGACGCCGAGGCGGCGGAGCGCATGCAGACGCAGCCGGGGACCCGGGAACAATGCGGGGCTCCGGGGCGCATACGCTCCGGCCTGGGGAGCGGGCAGGGAGGCCGTGCTCCGCTGCGTCGCCGAACAAAAGGCGCTGCGGGGTCGGGGCGGGAGCCCGGCCGGGGAAAAGTTTAAGAGGCCGGGACCCGGAGACCAGCCCGCCCGCGCCGCGCAGCCCCGCACAATGGCCCGGCCGAGCGCGGGAAGGCCGCAACGCCGGGCCGCGGCCCGTACCTGGTGGGTGTCCTTCCCGCCGCCCGCGGCCGCCGCCGGCCCGCCCGGGCCGCTTGTCATGTTCACGTACAGGGAGCGGGTGAGCGGGCTCCGCAGCGTCCACATCCTCCGCGCCAGCCACACGGACGCCAGGCTCAGGCACAGCCAGCCCGCCAACAGTCTCATCGGGGGGCCGCGGCCGCCAGCTCCGATCACCGCCGGGCGGAGGACGAGGAGGAGGAGGAGCCGCCGCCTCCGGCCACCGCCGTCGCTGCCTGTGCTCGAGCCATCGCCGCCAACTCGCCCATGCAGCCCCTTTCGGGCCGAGGCGGGGGGTGGGAGGAGCGGCCGGCGCCCAGCCTTCTCACGTACCCCACTGCCCTTAGGGCAGCGGAACGCCAAAGCGGCAGCCAGCCGTTTCCACCCGGAGCACGAAAGAAAGGGGAGGGGCGTGTTCTCTCTGTCCAATGAGCAGAACCCGGCAGACTGGGGAGGCGGGACAAAGGGAGTGAGCGTTCGCCTGGCTCGCGTCTCCGCCCCCGGCTGCCTGGGCACATAATGGCGGAAGTGTATTGAGTGGATTTAGTTCAGGGGAGACCACTTCCGAAAGGGTAGCTGAATCCTCGTAGCCTCTCCGAAGTAGTGCCCACAGAACTTCCGGTCTTTCCTTGCCCTAGTGGGTGGTTGCGGGTGGGTCTGTCAACCACACACTGGCGGGACTCGTTCTGAAGGGGAAGGAGAAGAAAGTCTCAGCCCTATCCCACGTCCAGACGCCTTCAGACCTGGTCTCGTAGACGAGCGCTGCCAGTTCTTGTAACAACCTCAGCTGTCTAACAATTTCCAGTTAGGGCCGACGAGCCAGACTCCCACTCCAAAAGAGGGAAAGGATCCCAGGATCCCACCGCCACTCCCAGGCCTGACGAGTTGCTGGCTACACGTTTCTAAGAGACATGAGTGACTGAAACTCAGCCTTTGTTACAACGTTGCAACTGGAGCACCTACCAGAAAATGTGTTGGATTGATGACAGTGCTCTACAGTGAAAGCCACAATTTAGAGCCCCTGACTGCCTTGTTTCCTAGAACTGACAGATGGAAGTTGGACCCCTCAAAGTGAGCGCTGTTCCGGGAGATTTACCCGGATATTTTCTTTGATCGTTTTTAGCAGGAGGAAACCTTAGGAACGTTTCAAAACTGAAGGATTATAAGGTATTCCTGTGTCTGAACTCTCCCTTCTCCTACGCCAGCTACAACTAGAGAATTACATATTTACTAGGCCCATTACTAACAACTTTCTAGGTTTGCTTAAAGAATGCTTTTTATCTGACTGCACCAGAGATTATGTAAATGCATTTAGTTTTAGTTTAAAACAAATTCATCTTTTTGTTAATTTCATATTGTACTTCAGGGATTTTCATTTATGAAATAGTGGGTTAGTGACCCACAGATGAGGAATAAAAATCATTCAAGGGTTTTTGTTGCCTAATGTGCACAGAATGTAACAACAAAAATTTTAGAAACTGGAGATGGGGGTTGCTTTGTATTCTCATTCTAGTACAATCCTTGACACACCTTGCTGTTGGGTTTAAACCTGAAAGCCAGTGCCTTACTAAATGAGCTCAACCCCCTTGTGATCCTGGCCCCAAACCCCATAAAAAGAACTATAATAGTACAAATGACTGTCCACTCTGTCACCTCTCCTTCCAACAAAGCTGTTCTGTTCTAAAACAGAGTCTCCATCTTTTTAAGCTGAAGAGGAGGTGCAGGCAACAGAAGTAATAAAGGGCCAAATTTCATTTCTGAATACAAAGAATACAGAAAGGTGCCCTAACTGCAGAGTAAGCCTGCTTAACCACAGTCCAGGGCTGCAAAATGTGTCAGGTAAACAAAAAGCAAAAATACGCCTAATGTAGTCTGAAGAATCTGGGGTCAACTGACAGCTATGACACCTAGCAGATTTTGCTTTATACCTGGGCATCCCACCTAGAAAAAATAAATCACTCACACATTCAGACTACTCTAGAATCACAAAATGCCCACATACGTGTTGCTTACACTTACCAAACACAGGAATAAACCAAAGCACAACATAATTAAATGAGCTATCTCAAGGTAGAAGAGCAAATCTAATAGCAGACCTTCTCATGGAACATGGTATTATAGCTCCTGTTCTGTGGTCCCTTCAGGAATCCTTGCCCCTCTTTGAGAGCCTCCTGAATTACAAATCAGGAGGAAGAAAAGCTGCAAGAGTAAATATATGAAGTAGAACTTAAGGCCAGTGAGGCGGCCTCCTTACTAAAATGAACTTCATGCATGATGGGGTGGGAAGACACACAGGCAACACAAAAGCCAAATGTGAGCTAATACCCTTTCTAATGTGGTTTTGAAATGCAGTCAGAGATACTCGAAATCACATACATGTTCTTGTAACTGAGCAGTGCTTGCTCACCTCAGGTGTCTAGCCTGGGTTTCAGTTCTGTAAGACCAGAAATTCTGCCAGGATTACTTTCCAAATCTCCAAACAAGGAGTTTGTTGCTCTCTTAAGCAACAGTATCTCTCGCCCTCTCCCGCTCTCCCTTTCTCCTTCCGTTCTCCTTCCCTTCCCTCTAATCTTCTCCCCCTCCTCTCCTATTATTTCCTTTCCTCTCCCTTCCTCCTAAGAAGTTCTTGCTATTTAGGCCAGCCTGGCCTTGAACTCACAGTCCTCCTGACTCTGCATCCCAAATGCAGGGATCACAGGCATGTGCTGCCATGCCCAGTTTCATATGCTCTTTTTAATTACCAAGTATAATTTGAACAAAAATCACAGGGAGAGAGACTTGGATTTATAGAAGACAAAACATGCTGACTCCTGTCAGCCATTGTAATCTCCTTAAGGAGATAATGGTCTAAAAGGACTTGTGTAATTGTTTTCATGGACAGATTTTGTGTGTGTGTGTGTGTGTGTGTGTGTGTGTAAGTGTGCATGTGGAAGCCAGAGAGGTCAACTTTAAGTGTCCTATTATTATCCACCTTATTTTTTGAGACAGAGTCTTTCACTGAGCCCACCCAGTGCACATCAATTGAATAGACTGGCTGGCCAGTAAGCTCCAGTGAGTTTTCTGTTTCTCCAACCCCACCCGCACCATGCTAGCTTACAGACATGCACCACCATGCCTGGCTTTTAATGTGGATACTAGTAATCCAAACTCAGGTTCTTATGCTTTGTGCAGAAGGCAATTTATTCACTGAACCCTCTCCTCAGACCATGAACAGATTGTTTAAGCTCTTAAAATGTTTGGTACACCTTCAGAGAAAGATATAAGCTCAGTCCAATATATTAACTGTGCCCTGTGATTATAAGCTCCTCTAAAGAATAACATTAGGGGCTGGAGAGATGGCCCAGCAGTTAAGAGCACTGGCTGCTCTTGCAGAAGACCCAGGTTTGATTCCCAGCACCCACATGGCAGCTAACAACCATGATAACTCCAGTTCCAGGGGCATCTGACACCCTCTTCTAACCTACATGGGCACTGCACAACATGGGTGCATCTATCTACATGCAAGCAATATACTCATACACATAAAATAAAAATAATAAATAAAATATTTTTTAATTCTTAAAAATAAGATTAGTAAATTACCTATTATAGTTGGGATCTTAAATATTTTAAAGTCCGCTGAAGGATTGGTTCATCAGCCTATGGTGCTATTGGGAAGTGGTGGAACCTCTAGGGGGTGGAGCCTAGTAGAAGTTCGTTCCCTCCCTCCCTCCATCTCTCACCCTGACCCCCGTACCTCTGCTCTCTGGCTACCATTAGTTAAGCATCTTTGCTCTCCACAAACCCCACCATGATATTCTTAATCACAAACAATAGAACCGAGTATCCAAGGACTGAAACCTCTGAAGTAAAAGAAAATTTTTCCTCTATTAAGTTTCTCAATTTTATCAAAACAGTGGAAAGATGGCTAATACAGTACTCAAATTTTTTTTAATTAGTGTGAGCCCCCCCAGTGGATATGACTTCAGTCATTCTCAGTGGCATCCCTGTGATCGTGATCTTAGATAAACTCAAGGTAAGGTGAAACTGAGAACAGGTCTTAAAGGATAGTAGCCTGAAACAGCAGAATAAAACCAGAAGATCTGGGGGCTAGAGAGATGGCTCATCAGTTACGAGCACTGACTGCTCTTGAGGAGGACCAGTGTTCAACTCCCAGCACTCATATGGTGGCTAACAACCATCTGTAACTCCAGTTCCAGGGGACTCAGTGTCCTCTTCTGACCTCCAAGGGCACTGCATGACATGGATGCATTTACATACATACAGACAATACACTCATACAAATAAATAAAAATAACAAAATATTTTGGGGTATATAAACATATAAATATATTTGTATATTTTTCAACTTTTAAAAAATATTATTATTTTTTAGAATATTTTTATTATCCCAAAGAGAGGCAATTTTTAACACATTTTTCCATAAATAACTTGAGCAGGTTACATAAGAATAGATATACAATGGAGTTTAAGGGTGGAAAAGTAGGGATAAGAAATCAAAGACCAAAGCTGGGCATGGTGGTACATGTCTTCAGTCCCAGCACTTGGGAGGCAGAGCCAGGCAGAGCTCTGTGAGCTCAAGGCCAGCTAGGGCTACAGGAAGACCCTATCCCAAAAAGACCAAAAAAATAAATAAATAAATCAGACTAAAGGATTTGCCAACATGGGGTCAACTTTGGTGGAATAATAGCTCTGTTCTTTTTTTTGAAAATCCTAATGAGTTTATTGGGCTTGCTAACAGAGCATAGGGTGGAGGTTTATTTACAGAAAAGTGGCCCCCCATTTATAGCTGCGCTGGAAAGTCCACACTCTAATATAGATCCTGTGACTTCCTGACAACTGCAGAAAATGGTGAGAGAGGGGCCTCCTGGCATTCTCAGCTTATATATCCTTAGCCCCTCCTCCACATGCAGCTAAGGTGGACTGATTGGGTGGGAGGGGTAACTGACTCTGCGTTTGACTCCTTGATGAGAGTGGGAAGGAGGTGTGACTATAGCTTGCCGGCATAGTGGTCAGAGGACACTTCCAGGTAACACTCCACCCCTTCCTCCAGCTCTTACATTCTTTCTGCCAACCTCTTCAGCAAAAATCCCTGAACCTTGTAGGGGGTGGTAGGTGTGGGATGATCTTCTGCCCATTGTGGCAAGGCACTGAACTTTTGGGTCTCTACATGGTCTGTTTTCCATGGGCTGTTGACCCATTTCAGTAGGATTCCATCTACTATAAAAGCACAAACAGTAAGAAGCAAGAACATCTAAACAGTGGCTGCTATGAGTGTAAACACAGATGCTTGGATGGTACTTTAGCAGGTGCATCACATCCATCTAACAAAATAATTGCAGTGACTTCCCACTGGGGCCTATATTCTCCCCTGCCACAGGGGGTTGGCCTGGCCTACAGTACCAGATGTGTGTTCCACCCCTAGAAGCGAGTATTATATTCAATACATCTGTGAGTATCAGATTATCTGAAATCTTCATCAGCTGTAAAACATCAACATTATAGAAGTATGCTCCATCCTACTGTGACTTTGGTCTCTCCACAAATTATTCTCTGAAAGCCCAGAGTAATAGTTTGTTTTAACTAACATGTCTAAAATGCACCCCACCACACACACACACACAGATATGCTCTTGTTTTGAATGGCTGTTCCTAAGTCAGTGATGCTATTTGTGGTAAGGATGGG